CCCCAAAACCCCAAAACCCCAAAACCCCAAAATACTAAATAATTACCTTGTAAGAATGAGTTACAAATAATGAATGATAAATATGAGTCTGATAATAATAAATTTTAAATTCAAAGGGTTAACTTAAGGTCTTAATACCTGTGACTATCTTGAATAACTGAGTTATTTATACTTCTAATTGGCACTATACTTTTGTATAAATCTACAGTGCTCTTAACTCTTTCCTGCAAATCCTACTCAATTTTGGATAGCTACTTAACTTGCTTATCAGTCTACTTCTTCTTTTTCTTTTCATTATTCACTCTCTCTATATAGCTTTCTTTCCTCTTTTGGTCTTTTTCAATTTTCATCTCAAGCATTCGTTACTTAGACTTTTGTAACTATTCTTTAATCATTAAAGCATTAACATGCTTCTAATAGTTGACACTTTCTTAGAATTTTTACTTTTCTTTCTCTATTTGCTATTTCTCTTTTACTACATCATCATGAATTTACTTCTTTGATCTGCAAATTTCATTTATCTTCTCGTTGATAAATAACTTTGACATACTTTTTTTGTTTTAATTTAATTCATAGTACTCATTCTTTTTTTATTCTCTTTCAAAACTAGCAATCTTAAGTTACTGCATTTTCTAGTCGTAACTCATTCTAACTTGCTGTAACTCCTCAGCTTTCCTACGCTCATTATCGATTTTCTTAAGCAACTATTCTTCTTACATTTTCAACTTTAAGATTCTAGATTACATTGAGTAAGCATTCTTTAGAGAAATCATCTTCTCTTATTTGGCCTTGATTAAACCCTTTTCCACGAAATCATCTTGCGAAGAAAGCAAATCATTCTAGTCATCCTAATATCTTAAAGATTTTTAACTTTAGCTGTGTCCAATTGATGGCTTCAATAAAGACTAAGATCTACCACTTTAATTGTTTACAGACAATCTGTCGTTTGAGTTTCCTCTCTCTTTTAGATGAGGTAATATAACAGAGCTGTTTGAATGATATGAACCTCCAATTTATTGATCCATTATACAACTAATTTATAATTACAAGATAATTAATGAAATCAAAATATAACTAGAATTAAATTAATAATATATCATCAATTAAATCTACAAATGAATAATCTCTATCAGCTAAAAGCTTTTCATCTATAAGCTTTTTCATGAGCAATTTTGATACCAGCCTCGATCAATTGCTTATCTCTAATAGCTGGATCATTATTACCTTGCTTTCTTAAGGCTTGATAATTTGTGGCTGGTGCTTGCTTCTATTGTTATAGGTTACTCTACGATTCTTTTTCCTTCATAGTCTTTATCTCCTATATATTCTTGAGTTAGTTCACCCTAGAATCTTCCAAATCAGATTTATTTTCATCAGTGTAATAGTCATCTTCTAATTCTTCATCATCTTCTTCAATGTCATCATCATCGTCTGACTATTCCTCTTCCATTTGAGCTTATTACCTCATTTTTTTCTTTTTATCACTACTTGATTGATCTTCTTCTTTAATTGTGGTTTTACTCTTTTTAGACCCTTCTTATCTTAAGCTGTCGTTTACAACTTTTTTCCTAAGTTTTTATTCCACAATATTTTAAACCTAAGATTAATCTAGATATCATTGATAAATTGAATAAAAATAATTACTTATACTCTATACATCATGATCTTTGTATAATTTAGTATTGAACGAAACCTCACTTGACATAGTTACATTCAAAAGATCTTATGTTGCGATTGATTGTTCTGCACCACGCTTCTAGATTTTTATTGGTTTGCTCTAAAGAGATAAATTAGTAAAATCTTACTAGAGCCTCCATACGCTACTTTTTAGCATCAGGCATTTGAGGATTCTATTATAATAAATTTTTATTACCTTCTAAAACCACTTTTTTATCCTTGTCATTAGTTATTACTGTCCATTTAGATTTCAGAGACTACCCTCCGTCATCTTTGTCGACTCTATCAATTTCCTTATTTCTCATCATTTTGAATTTTTTCCCTAAAGTCATTCCAGGTGTCAATTAGTTATTATTGCTAGGCTAGAGTGGAAATTACTTTTCAAGATTTGAAAGAGTTTCATCTCCCATTAATTTACTTTTCTTATTAACAGGGAATTATTTGCTTAGCTGAGAAAGTGTTTCATCCCCAATTCTAGATCTACTTTGCTAAGATGGTTAGTGATTTATTGGTGGTAGTTTCTGATTTTTGGGAATAGTTTGCTATTAATTAATTGAGCTCTTACTGGATAATTTGGATTTGTCCTGATTTCCACCAGACACACTTGATCTCAAAGAAGCAATTCTGTTTGCTATATTTCTACTATCACCATTAAAAATAGAATTTGAATTTCTGAAGGCTGCTGGTAGGAAAGAATTCTTTTTATTCAAGAGAGCTTAATGCCTTGATATTTAGTATTCAATTTCCTTTCTCTTTTTTACTTCTTCATCATCCGGATCTTCCTCTTCAGCATATTCTTCCCCATAATCATCATCCAATGATTACTTGAGCTAAGAGGCATCATCATCTTGTGATTATGCAATTAAACTCTCTTTTAGAGCTGAGTCTGATTGGCTCTATATTTTATCTCTATTTTTTTACCTTGAAGCTGCTCCTCTAATGTCGGAAAGATTTTATGCTATTCTAAGAATTTCACTGGGATTTAATTCAGTCTCTGAACTCAATTGATCATCAGTTCTGTTGACCCTTAATTATAGTCCACTTACTGATTAAGAGTGATACTATGAAGCATCCTTATTTGTCTTGCTAACAGCATCATCAGCATCAGAATCAGTAGAGATGGAGACTTCTGCTTTCTTTTTACCTTTTTGATTTTACTTGTTCATGAATTTCTATATTTCCTCTTGCAGATTTAGTCTATTATCTGTGGGATCAATTGCAATATTCTCTTCAACGTTCTCCAATTCGAACAATGTGTATCTATCCCAAATAAAACTGTAGTGCATTCTATCTTTCATAATTGGAAAATCGTAAGGATTTTCCTCCTTAATATTTTTTCTTTTCTCAGCAAGTTTGTCTAAGTCCTCTCTAAATTCCTCTAAAAAGGGAACCACTCCAATCATACCATCACTCCCTCTTCGGCCTTTAACTCTTACCAAGCTCATCTTGTCCCTTAGCATCTTCTATCTTTTATAGTAAGCTTAGTTCATCTCCTTTACTTTTGCTTCATAGAATTCTAATTTATCCTAATAATCTATCTCTTTCTTCGATTTAGACTTCTCAAAAAACTTCTCCCTTTCTACCATCATTTTCCTTTCTTGTTCCTTCTTATCTAATCTAATTTTACATTTTCTCCAGAACCTACCACCACCAAATGTTTCTCTCATTTCTCCTTGCAAACGAAAAGAAGGAAAAACAGTATAAGGTAACTACTACACAACTTTAATGAAATCATTCTTGCTCATTTTATCACCTCTTTCCATAGATATTAGCTCAATTGCTCTTAAATTATTGATTGGAAAGACTTGAATATTATCAATAACTATTGTGAATAATCTGAACAAATCTTTTTTTGATATTTCTCCATCTCTATCTCTATCGAACATGTTAAATACAACTATAAGTAATTGATCAGTAAGCAATATATCTTACAAGTAATCATTTCATCTTTTGAGAATAAACAAAAACTGACTAATGCTGGCAAAAATTCATCAAAGTTTACTTTTTCAATAAACTCTCTATCAATCAAATCAAAAAATCTCTCTAAATAAGGTGCTACAATAGAATAATGCCTTTCATCTAAATAACTGAAAAGCTAGCCTATCGAGATGTAATTGATTTAATCCCTATCTATTTTTACGAAATGTCTCCATAGCCTGAAAATATCATCCTCTAAAAATTCAAAATCATTCATCACTCTCTAAATTCATTATATTCAGACTTAATTTTAAGTAAATTGTTTCGATATTATTACATACTTAAATGGAATTAGTAAAGTATAAAATTCTTCCTTTGTAATGTATTTCAACTCTATTTGATCCACCAGCAATTAAATTTCCAAATTTGTCATATATTTCAGTCCCAGTTTACTTCGGGTCATAGTTCTCAATTCTATTATAAGTGCTTAAGCATTTACCCATTAGAATAAATAATGTAATTATACAATTTAATAGAACTTAATTATAATTAAAATATTGATTATTAAGGGATTATTAGTGATCTTGAGAGTTTATTATATCTTAATATTAATTCTAGAATATGTTAACTGCCCTCATTTGAAGAAAGGAAGATATCTCCTCACAAAGATTGAAGGTGAGAAACTTGACTTTCTATCGTCCTTTTTCATTTCTACCTTAATGTCGTTTTTGTTAACTCTCTAGGTTTCACTACCATCACCTAGCTCTTGCTTCCTTCTTTGTTGTGCCTGAGTTATTATTTATATTTGACTTGGCTAAGTCAAAATAATATCATTTTGGTTTTGACTAGTCATGCTGATCTGTCCACTGCCTATATAGTTGTTACTTTGCTGGTGGAAATGGAGTCCTTTCATATTGTTAAGATTAATTACTTATTGCTGATATTTCTTTGGGCCTAGATCTTGAGATGAAATTTCTGGGATGCTGGTATTTTTAGAAGCATCTAGCAAGTGAGACCTAGATCTTGTTTCCTTTGTGACTTAGATTGGGAACTGATTGCTTATTTTACTTTTTTTAATATCAGCCTATTTTTCTTACTTCTCCTACTAATGTACAGGTTGCTATTGTTATATTTAATTCTGCTATTCTTGAGAAGACATTTCATTCTCTAACTTTTCATTTCTGTTGATGAATGAAGGAGAATCTATATGACCCATATTTCTATCTTATTCATATTCTCTATCCTCAAGCAGCTCTTCAGCGGCCAAGACTCTTAAAAATGAGGGCAGAGGATTCTATTAGGGACTAGTATAGTTTATCATATTATTATCTTCTTTCAATGTCTGATTTGAAAATGATAGTGGACGATTAGCATTATTTTAAGAGTTTTGCATTTAGGTATCAGCACCTGTTTTATGTTAGTTTGATCTACTAAAGATTTAGTAGTTGTTTTGATCACTCGTGAAGTATGAAGCCACTTGTTTCTTCAAGGATTTCAGTTCTCTTACTTGGTAGATAAATCTATTGATCTTATACTTATGAAGAATTTCATTTCTCATTATTGTCTATTTGAAGCTTTCTACTTAAGAATCGAATTTCGCTTTGTCCTGCTTTAATTGATCATTCTCTTTTTTTATTATGCTTAATTCAGCTTTTGCTACTTAAAAATCTACAACTAAGTTCCCGATGGATCCTTTTTTTATGGCTTGATGAAGCTCCTCTAGCTAATTTATAAGTTCACTGAAAGTTTTAGGCTAAGGTGAATTAGGGTTTTAGAAATTTTTTGCACCAAGAACTCCAGAAATTATAGGGAATATTAAATTACACAAAGCTACTGTCTACTATTATTCGTATTTTGATTCGTTAATTTTGCTTCCTAAAATAGACTCATTAGTCCTAAGCAGTTCCTTAAGTTTTTTATTCTCTGCCTTCAATGCTTTATATTTACCTCTAAAAAGGACATCATCCTCTAATTTGAATTTAGCACTTGTTCTCCCACTTTAAATGTGACTGCCTATTGAGTTTGTATTTTGCTGATTAATTATGTTATTTTAAAAGCCATTTGTTAAGCCATTGATGCTTGAATTGTTATCACTTGCTCCTCCTCCTAGACTAGCTATCGTGTTATTTTGTATTGTTTGCTTGGTTAACACTGGATTTTAAGATCCACTGCCATTGTGATTATTCATGCCAAAAGAACCTCCAATATTCTGATTTAAATGCCCTTTACTCCCAGATCTTTCAATGCTTTTACTTGAGTGAACGTTACGACTTAATTTTAAAGTCGATTTACTTATCTGCTAAGGAGTAGTTTTTATAAGAGACTTCTGACTTTATAGACCTGAGTTCATTATCAGTGAGTTTGTTAATGAAGTATTATTAAGGTTGAAGGATTATATCATTGAGGCATTTTAAAAGATTTGAGCCTGAGCTGGGTCAACATCTCTTGAAGCTTAAACTAGATCTGGAGTGATTGATCTCATGCTAAATTTCTGACTGCTATTGTTATTAGTAGTACTTAACTTTTGCTATGAACTTCTATTTGTATTTGGTGACGCTTGAATAGTAAATTAGGATACATTTTACTAGCTGTTTTTGCTCTCCTCTAAGGAGGACTTATTTATTCTTGATGTGTTGTTTCCTGTTCCTTAATTATTTTAATTGTATTTTGATACCTGAGTTGAATTAGAGACGTTTGATGGAGTTTAGGTGTGGATTATTTTCTTGGAATTAGAAATATTAATTTATTAAGAACTAGATGACTGCAGGTTTCTCCCGATCTCATTATCACTCCTATTTAACATTTTATTCATATTATTAAAATTATAATTATCTGGCAGATTTTTTTTCTATCAAAACTTGGGGTTTTGGGGTTTTGGGGTTTTGGGGTTTTGGGGTTTTGGGG